GTATCATTTTTATTTGACCTAAATAAGTGAGTAATGCCAAGTCAACAAAAGTATCCCTTTTCTCAGACTCAAATCATAGATGCTAATGTTAAAAGGGAAACCTGAAGCCTGCCTAGCCCTACCTCCCAACCAACATAGAATACATAAATTAGGTGGTTTCCATCTCTGATAGTTCAACTTGTTTTGAACACATGTAATGAAGGAGAAATCACTACTAGGTGGGACAGACAACTCTACTGCGAGCATACTCTAGTACATAGAAAACACTAACTTATTGGGGACCAGCAAGTGGTGGGGTGGCTAAGACACTGACACTCCCACATAGCCAACCACAGTTCTAGTCCTGGACCTGGTAGCTTGTTTTCTCACTTTTCTTCTCTTTCTTTTTCTCTGTCTCTCTCTCTCTCTGTCTCTCTATCTCTCTGTCTCTCTCTCTCTCTCTGGTTGAATTAAAAAATAAATGAATGAATAAATAAAATTAAAATAAATATTAATAAAACACTAATTTATCAATGATGGGGTTACTATAGTGTAATTATTGTTGCTGTTGTATTTTAGAGAGATCATTGTACCTACCTAACATTTCTTTTTGTCCAGTTATGCATTCTTATTCATCTATTTTTAATAGCCATTAGCTGGTCAATTTTAAATTGTAAAGACAAACACAGTGTTCACAAGACCGAACACAGGATCACATGTTCCTCACAATAAAAAAACAAAAACTCAAACAAAAACTACAGGACTGGGAGCCAGCAGGTGGCATAGTGTTTAAGGTTCTGGATTCCCACATGGTCGACTGTTGTTTATATCCTGGACTTGGCAGCTTGAAACCTATGCCAGGTGTGTGTGTGTGTATGTGTGCCCAAAATCCAAAGAGGAGAATGGTTAAGGGTTGTGATGTGACTGTCCCCTCTGGGGGAGTGATTTCTTGCTTTCTGTCTCTCTCTGGTGAGTGCATGTGCCCTATACCAAAAGTTTCTCTCCCCACATGGTCGACTGTTGTTTATATCCTGGACTTGGCAGCTTGAAACCTATGCCAGGTGTGTGTGTGTGTATGTGTGCCCAAAATCCAAAGAGGAGAATGGTTAAGGGTTGTGATGTGACTGTCCCCTCTGGGGGAGTGATTTCTTGCTTTCTGTCTCTCTCTGGTGAATGCATGTGCCCTATACCAAAAGTTTCTCTAAACAAGAAAGAAAGAAAGAAAACCAAAGGACTGTTCTGTTAATATTCTGGACATTCTACTTCTTTTACTTCAAACAAGACTTTGGTCATTCTTAGTAGCTTTATGATACTACTAGATCATACTACCCTAAATATGGCCTCAGGTTTCTTTACATGAACAAATTTTATAACTGTTCTTCCTCATCCATGTGTTTTTGTTCATTTTAAGCTAAAAGTAGAAGCTTCAAGTTATCTCTATTAACTTATATTTTTGGGTGGGTTTGTCATTTCTATCCACCAGGAACTTTAAGAATATTGAACCACATGGGCCAGCTGGTTGTATGGTGGCTAAGGCAGCTGATTCAACTTGCCTGACTGCATGGTTTCATTCCCAGACCCAGTGGTGTGAGAAGCATGCCAGTTGTGTGCATGTGCATGCCCAAACTCCTGAGAAGAGAATGGAGAATGGAGGAGAAGGGATTGTGGCATGATCATCCTTTCTGGGGGTTGTTTTCTCTCTTTATCGCTCTCATTCTATTTTTCTCTGGCTAGTGCAAACACCAATAACAAATTTAAAAAAAAGATGTTGAGCCACTTGTCCAACACATTATGTTTTAATTGTGATTTAAGGTTATCTTCTCCCTTGAAAGTCTTTGTTCAGAGTCTGCTGCCTAGGCATGACTTTGAGTGAGACCTGGATGAAGAATAGCATTCCATCATTCTACTTATAGCCCATCAAGATGGAATGAAGTCCTTAGGTAAAAATGAAGGAAAATAAACAATTTAATTTGGATATGTTTCCCAATTATAAGTTTTAAACAATTAGTATTCAGGAAAATGCTGAAACCCCTGCATTTTTCTTGGTATTAAGAATTATTTTTTTTTCTTAATCCTTTTTTACTCTAACCTACATAAAATGTAAGAGGTAGACTAGGCCTGGAAGGTTTAGCATAGAGCAATGAGGAGCAAGAGATGATACTAGCTTTTTGTGAGGTAAAACCCTACTTTAGTGGAAGAACCAGAGATCCTTCTTTTCAGCCTTAAATCCACCTCTGTGGGACTGGATCACAGTTTCCTTGAGGAGTGCTCCTTTTAAAAACAAATAAATTATCTCTAGTGCTTAATACAGATATCTTTGGGATCCAAATGTGCTTTATTAATAATTTCACCAATAGGTATTAACCTAAATGCCTCGGAAAACCTTATCCTGATTCATACCTCATACTCAGTGAAATGGATATTTAAGCAATTGAATTGCCCTTTAGAATTTAGAGGAAATTTGCAAGTTGTTTAGTCTAACTTCTCCTTGCATACAAAATACCTCTCGCTCAGTTCAACCTACCACAATCCCCATTATAACACCCCGATAGTTGATTGTATAGTCTGCTCACATACTTTCAGTGCCAGGGTTAGCTCTAGCTGGACAGTGGAAAGACTCCTAGAAGGAGTAGGAGTTCCAAGCATTAGAAAGTCCTCCCAGATGGAAATCTTTTCTGGAACTTGTTCCTAGAACTATACCTCCTAGCAATATATAAGTTAAATTAATGTGCACTTGGCAACCTCCTAAGTATCTGAGGACAGTAATTCAGTGGAAAGAGTTAGACAAGGATTATGAGGACAGAAGTCCCACACTAGTTTCTTGCCCAAAATTATGTTTGAAAAACTACTAGTTAGCATGATGTTTTAAATCAACTTGCCCCAGGAAAATAATATAGTAATGTGGATTATTTATCCTTAGCACATAGTTGCTACTAGCAGTCTTAAGAGATGTTATTTAGCTCTATATTGGATTTATTTGGAAATGCAGGTGTATGCTTAAGGGACAAAGATTGTAAATTTAGACTCGTCATTTAGCATATATGGGGAAGAGTGTATCTTTGGTCACTTCTTAGTCTTTTAGTGAAATTTTGTTATAGTTCTTTAATATTTCACCCTGAACTATGTAACCATACTGTGATTATTATCTTCAGCCATGTCTCTTAATTCTTTAATATGAGGTAAAAAATTGGCTCAGCTGGGAAATTTTCATGTCCCCTCTACACTGATTTATTTCGCTCTGTTTTCCCTGCTTTGTCTCATGTGCACATCCTATCCCTAGTCATCACCCTTACTATACAGTGTTGGTATTCACGTCTGACTCAACTCCTGACGATAGTACTTACTATAATCCAAGTTCTGTCTACAGGATTTACCTATTAACTCAGTTAGTCTTCACAGTGAATTGATTGGGTTGTAACTATTATTCCCATTTCAAAGGACAAGAAACTGTGGCACTGAGAGTTGAAGAAATTATTCAAAGATATAAAACCCCAAGTTCCAGACTGCTTGTCTAGAATAACACCTAGAAGGCAGAAGAAGGCTTTTATCCTAGTAAAACACCTCATATGTTGCCTTAAACATGCTAGGGACTAGATAGAGATAGTTGTTGGGAAAGTCAGGGTGCATTTTCCTATGCTTTTCCATGCAAGAATGCATCATGACTTTCCAGACCACCCAATAGTATTAAATGAAGGGATGAATGAAGATTCTTTTTCTAACTACTGGAAGTATTTTCCATGACGGAAGACATAAAGAGTCAAGTCTTTAAAACTGCAAAAGACATTAAAAATATGTCCCGTTCAAGCATTTATTTTGTACTTGGAAAAACCACAATGCCTAGAGCTATATTGTCTGCTCTGCTCATGGTCGTTTTGTAGTTTAGCTAGCATGGTTATTTTACCTTGACCACATGCCAGAAACTGCTGCAAAGGCTCTTCATGTATTATCTCACCTAATCCTCGTCTGAGATGAATGATTTTATTAACTTCATTTTAGACGTGAGGAAACTGAGGCATACAGAAATGATCCAATGTCACATAGCCGTTAGATGGTAGAGCAGGGACAAGAGCTGAGGTTGGCTCACTTTAGAATTTATGTTCTTACCCGCCATCCTACCTCAGCTTTCACTTGCCTAATTACGGTCAGATCTAGCTGCAAGTGAGTGCTCAATCCCAGAGTCTCTTCTTAACCTGTTCCTATATTTCAAAAAATACAATTGTTCTAATTTTAGATCAATCTTTACATAGTCTAAATTTAATAGCATACTTAATATATGATTTATGTAATGTGAGATTTAGAGTTTCTTGATCTTTCAATATATTCTACATGTCTACAAAAGTTACTGAGAGAAATCCTTATGCAACTTTTAAAGAAATCCTTTACCCTGAAGAAAAACAATTTAAAAAGGTTATTTATGAGTACTCTAAAATTGCCAACAACTATACACAGGAGTTGAAATATATATTTATATTTATGTATTCATATCACCTAGCTTATTCAAAATGAATTCAGGATATTTTTTCTGCCAGCATCGATTTCTATTTTTTTTTGGGGGGGGGCAGTTGCTATAGGGTGCATGCACTCACCAGAAAGACAGAGACAGACAGAAAGCAAGAAATCACCCCCCAGTGGGGGATAGCCATGCTGCAATCCCTTCTCCATTCTCCTCGGGATCATGGGTGCACACCACATGCGCCCAGTGTGAGTTGAAGCCACTGGGTTCAGGACTTGAACTGCGGTCGACTACATGAGAGTCCAGTGACGTAGCCATTATACATCTGTTAGTCCCGCCATGAATTTCTATTTTTAAAAAATGTAGCAGAATGACGAAGTCACTGCCTTCTATCTATTTACAGACAGATGTATTACTGTTGAAAAGATATTAATAGAATTCTTATTGATCCTAGATTAAGTGGAATATATTCCAAGTCACAGGAAGATACTGAGAGGCTGTATTATTTACCCATGCTGCATAATAAATTATCCAGAATCTAGATCTTGTAACAATACACATTTATCACCTCAAATTGCTGTTGGTCAGGAATGTGGCACAGCTCAGTTCACATGGCTCCTCCACTTCAGGGTCTCTTCTGAGGCCATAATCCAGGTGTTGGCTGAGGCCAAGTTCTCTGAAAGACAGACTGGGAAAGATAGGTCTCTTGAATTCAGTTTCTCACAGGGAGTAGAATGTAAGTCTCTTGCCACATGGGCCTCTCCAACATTCAGCTTGCTACATCAAAGCATGCATGCTGAAAAGGCCAAACAGTCTACTAGAAAAAATGGAAGTGACAGTCATTTGCAACCATAACAAGAGTAGCATCTTATCAACTTTGGAGTAGTTTATTGATTAGAGCAAGTCACTCAATCCAACACATGTTCTGGGGAGGGAAAAACACAGGTATGTGAGTTTTATAAGGCAAGAGAGATATGGCTATTGTAGAAGCTTGCCTACCACAGGGATAAAATTAGAAACTTTCTTTTATGAGTTTAATGACTTTCTCCCTCTGTTTAGAGTTGTGTATTTTGCAAGGGAGAAGGTAGATTGGTTGGTTGGTTGGCTGTTTTATGCTTGCTATTAGTTTATAAATTATATTTAAAAGAAAAAAATTCTTTTAAATGTTTTTACCTTATATTGAAGATTGTGTTGAACTTTGGTTGAAAAGCAGCAAGAAATTGTTTTTGCATGTTTGGGTATGTGATTCATAAACCCTGTACTTCTAAATGGTCCTCCAAACCCACATTGCTTTTTATTCCTTTATCCACGGGGCCACCAGTAGAAGGAACCCTGATGTTCACCTGTGAGATGAGGACCTGTGTGCCAGCAACCTCATCTGTGAAGATCTTATGCATTTAACCCATCAAATTCTAATGTCCCCTTTTTTTGTCTTCACCAAAGACTTCATTGTTAATTCTGTGATTTTCACACTAATACTTCACCCTCAATTTCTGTGTGTGGTTGAACCTAGTTATCTAGTCAATGTTGGCTTTTTCATGCGAGGCTTCATGCAACCTAGAGCTAGTCAGTGTTGCTTACCTCATGGTAAGAAGTCCTAACAGGATTGGTTCCACGTTTGACCTTCAGCTTTGTCTCTGTTTCCTCTCTTTACATCTTTGCCAAAATCAATGTCATTGTGACTACCATCTGAAAGCGTGTACTTAATTTCAGTTGAACTAAAAGTGCTGGTAGCTAATCCCTCAGTGAATGGAAGCATACAAAACCTGTATTGTCTCCTCCAAAAAGTTTATAATCCAAGATAAAGCACTCATGAGAATACTTTGCAGTTAATGAATAAAACTTGGGCCACATGAGTGTTCTTAACTTGTACTTTGTTTATTAAACGGAAATTTCCTGCACTTGTCTTGTGTATCTTCTGACAAAAAATTATAAGTAATACACGTAAAGATTTATTTCTAAAACAGTTATTGAATGCATTTTATTCATTTCAGTTTGTAGACAGAACCCCATATATCATCAATATACTCTTATTTTTTATATTTAAACATTTATTTATTTATAAGAATACAATCATCATCAAGCAAAGTATTACTGGCATACAGAATTGGTTTGTTACGTATGGTATACTTTGTCTATGGCATGTTTTCCATTTGAATCTGACCTCAAATTGACTAGAATTTAATAGATTTGGTAAGATTAAGTGCACGATATAATGGAATTCTGCCAATATTTTTTAAAATGTGTTTTATAGACTCTGAAACACCAGTGATTTAAACAGCATCATCACTGTAGGTGAAAATATAAAAAACACTGTCTACTAAACCATGACACCATCATTTTTCATTTATTTATTTTTTAGTGTGATTTCTGGTTTTCATATAATCATTGAATGTTTTGTTTGGGGGTATAGTGTGGTTTTTCAAGCATACACACAATGTGTTATAATCAGTCAAGGATTTAGACATATTCATCTTCCTCAAATTGAACACTACGTTATGTTGTGCACTTTCAATTATAGTTCTGTTTTTTTAAAGTATACATTAACTAATACCATCATATCTTCCATTTTTGTGTAAGGTATATTTTGAAAAGTTAAAATGTGAGGCTAATTAATAGTAATCATTTGGAGATGGAGGATCACCAAGTTGCTTCATTTAAATATCTGCTATGAATACAGACAAGTGACTGCTACTTAGGATTTTTAATAGTATGAGTACTCTACACTAAAATTTAGTTGATGTTAGTCCTAGTTTTATTAATCACTGAGTGTTATAAACTTTTCCACTGAAATGCACCTAAGTAGAGAGAAAGAATAAAGCCCCCCAAACCTTGGGTACAGCCTGAAATGATCTTGCTCATCTTCACATTTATAAATGTAAGGGACCAGCAGTTAGTGTAATGACTATGTTGCTGGACCCCCACGTAGTCGACCGTGGTTCGCGTCCCGGACCTGGTGGCTTAAAACTCACGCCGGGCGTGTGTGTGTGCGTGCGTGCCCAAGATCCCGAGAGGAGAATGGAGGAGAAGGGATTGCGGTGTGGCCATCCCCCCTGGGGGGTGATTTCTTGCTTTCTGTCTCTCTCTGTCTTTAAAAAAAAAAAAAAAAAAAAATATATATAAATAAATGTAAGACAGGAAGTAAAATGACAAGTTATAATTTTAAAATATAAAATAATACTTTTACTTATAAAATTTTACAATAAAATTGACTTTCTATAAAGATATTCCCTATGTTTCTATTGGCTTTGTGTACTATAGGCACATTGCAATGAGTCCTGAGGTTCAAGTGCCCCAGAGACTCAGGCAACCAGAGGCAATAAGTGGATTTAGCAAAGAATCTTCATGAATTTTGATGACCAAAACAAAACAAAACAAAACAAAAACAAAACCTGAAAAAAGGCCAAAAATAAATTGCTCAGTCTCATTAAACAGCATTAACACAAATTTTCTCCCTTGGACTCTATCCAGACAATGCCTTCTTGTGAAGAGTTATGTCTGTTAGGATTTAACTGAAAATTATATCTAAGCGAGAGATAACTGGAATTGCTTTGTTTGATCATTTTTTAAAAATGCCTGTAATTGAATTGAATACTGGTTTTCCTTTCTACCCCCATGTGCATTAATCAGGCAGCCAACTGACTTGCACATAGTGTTCTCTGCATATCTGTGTGTGTGTGTGTGTGTGTGTGTGTGTGTTGCTAAAGTATTTCTTTAAAGAGGCTTTCATTCTCTAGCAAGGATTTAAACTAACCTGAGGTAAACATAGTGGCAGAGTTATAACATTCTGGAGCTGTCATTTAGTCCAGCAGCAGAGCTGTGCTCATCCAGGCATGTACAGATGTTAGAGTTATAATGCACTACTTTGATCTGTTTTATGGGAGATTATTCCTATTTCATTTTTAGCTTTATTCACAACATGAAAATAGATAGCCCAGATTCCCCCCACCTGCTTTTTAATACATCCGAAACATAGTTTCTACATAGAGCTCCTCCTTAAACTTTCCCATCCATGGGACCAATGGATGATATAACAGTTACGTTGTTGGACTCCCTCATAGTCGACTGCAGCTTGAGTCCCAGACCTGGTGGTTTAAAACTCATGTTGGGTGTGTGTGCGTGTGGCACACCCATCCCCCATGGAGGATGATTTCTCACTTTCTATCTCTCTGTCTCTCTGGTGAGTGCACGTGCCCTATGGCATAAATCTCTCATAAAAAAATAATAATAAGTTTCCCACTTCTAATTATCACCCCTACTTGGTCTCCACTCCCCAGCCTCCCTTTTCCAAAAAGAACTGGGAATATAAACATGCTAAAAAAATACATGGGTAAATACAGAATTACAAATATGCACTTTATATTCCCCTGCATCCAAAAATTGTTGAACAATTCTATCTTGAAGATCCCTGGAGTGTTTTACCAGATTCATACTGTGAATGGCTCAGATGTGTTCTTGTCCCTGGAATGGAAGCATAGCGCAGAGACATAAATATCTAAAACCAAGGAATGAAATTACACTGATGCTTTCAGCATGTTTCCAGAGAGTAGGTCAAGTTGCTTAAAATCACTGCAAGTCCATACAGTTTATGACAGAAGTTTTTAACACTTAGTCCCAAACAGCCCTTTGTTCTCTTTTCATTTATGTCCAAAGCAAAAGGCAGAAAGTTGAAAATGAATTTTAGAGTAAATTTATATTTTTATTTAATCCCCTGTACTGTTCATTGGATGTATTTTTAAAGCCTGCCACTTCCTCCTCTCCCTACAGCAATATTGTTCTGGAAAGGCGATCGAGCATATTCTAAAAAGTCTAGGACTATATACAAAAAACCCCAAAAAAACAAACAAACAAAAAATCTTATTTCAGACAGACTGGCTTGACCATGAAACTAAGCAGTTTAAAACTTGTGTTGGTTAATGTAAAGTGAAAGTGGTCATTTTTGAGGTGTAAACATGAAATTGCTGTTAACAATGATAATAGAGCATGTCAGGCTTTCTTGTTTACACCCAATTCCCACATATAAATCTACTTTTGATTCTAATCTTCTTATTTTGTTTTATTGACTCTAATCTTTTCATTTGGTTAAAGTGTTTTTTACTGTGTCCCCATGCAGTTGAGGAGCACTTAGACAAATTTGCTTTTTAAATATAAAATGAAGCCAAAAGTTATTCCATGGGGAAGAGAGAAGGAAGGAGAGTGAGAAAAAGAACAAAGCAAGCAGGGAAACAGAGATGTATGCATGTCTGGAGCCCTCAGAATGAACTGAGCATTCTGAGCCCACTGGTGGTGTGGTGTTTAAGGGGGCTGGATCCCACATGGCTGACTGTGTGGTCTGAGTTCTGGACCTGATAACTTGAAGAAAGACAAAAGGAAAAAGAAAAAGAAAAGAAAAAGAAAAGAAAAGAACTGAGCATTCAAAAACATAGTGATTTGCTGAACAGAGCTCAAGGTTACAAACACTGGCTTTGAAGTTTGGATTTTGACTGTCCTTGATTTTTAATTTGGGCACAGATAGTTGCTAAGTATAATTATATAATTTTCTAGTATTTAACATTTTTAGCCTCAGTTTTGTCATATGCTATATGTAAAAGGAGAATAATAGAATTTATTTGCTAAAGTTATTAGAAGATTAAATGAGGTAATACATACAAGGAAACTGACACAGTACCTAGCACAAAGGATTTACTCAAGTAATATTAGATCTATGGGTCCATGTTCAATGTGTTCACTGTTTATTTAGTGAGAGAGAAGAGAAACTGTTATTTTTGTAAAAATAATTCATCTTCTTTATTTATACTTATAATAAGGGATATATTGCTGCAATAAAGGTTATGTTTTGATGCATTTGAAATTTTCTGTTATTGTTTTCTCTCCCCTCAGTTTAATGAATCATTCAGCTCACCAAAATAGTTTATTAGGTCATTGGAAAAGTCATGAGGTATATTTCTGTTTTTCTATGCAAAAATAAATCATAGACTTTCTCAATGTCCCAGTAATAGATATATAGATGCCATATCTTCTTCAAAATATTTTGTTACTTTTTTATCTCAGTTGAGAAAGCACTTTATGATATTTTAACTTTTTATAGGGATATTGCCAGCCTAAAGTTAATTAAAAGAATTCAGACTTTTCTTTAAAATGGACAATCCTAAAAATTTTTGGAAGAGCTTCACTTTATTAAGGTCACAAGCTGAATTCAAAGTCAGATTTTCCATTAGCAATTTTTTAAACAATACATTCTAATAGAGAAATAACAGTTATTGAAATCTCAAAGATAAATGTTTATTCTTGCATACATCCTGTATCTTATGATCTTAAAATATCCAATTAAACCTGAGCAGACCATTGTAATGAATGTCAGCACCGTCAGTCAAATCTTATTTATCAATACATTGTGGAATTTCAGCTACACATGGACAAGAACTGCTGTAATTTAGCTAGGCTTCAGTTTCAGGAACTTAGAAGTAATTATTAGAACAGACATCAGATGGTCTTCTATTTTATTTTTGGTTTCACACTCAGTATGAATATAATTTTCTATTAAAAATAGCTTATATAGAAATAGGAGCTGAAAAAGATTTACTTACTAATTCACTTCAACCTACGGAGTCAATGTCCAAAGAAAATTTCCTCTTAGGTAATTTTTTCCTGTGTGTGTGTGTGTGTGTGTGTGTGTGTGTGTGTGTGTATGTGTGTGTGTGTGTGTGCGTGTGCACGTGTGTGTTTCCCAAATCGGAAACTTCTTGGGAGGTATAGTGAATGGTTTAAGCTTCAGATAGTAAAATAAATTGTGTGTTTCTGGTAAGGAACATTAACCACATATTAATAGCTTCAGTTGACTAAGACTATGAGGTATAAAAATCTCAGCTGCCTGGTTTCAAGTTTAGTGGTAGAGGTTGCAATTGTACTCTATAACTTAACTCCTCGAAAATAAGTTTGGGATTGGCAAAACATAATTTATTATTTTAAGTTTCTGTTTAGAGGCACTCAGTGTGTTAGAATCAATTTTCAACTCTGTAATCACAAAGAATCTCATACAGAAACCTGAATTAGTCAATAATATTACATCTTTTCTAGTGATGTTTAATTCACTTTAAAAATGACAGCTTAGGGACCAGCAGATGGTGTAATGGTTACATCACTGGATCCCCACATGGCTGACTGTGGTTGGAGTCCTGGACTTGGAGGCTTCAAACTCTTACCAGGCACATGTGTGTGCACGTCTAAAATCCTGAGCAGAAAATAGAGGAGAAGGGATTGTAGTGTGGCCATCTCCTCCAGGGTGGGGAGGATTTCTTGCTTTCTGTCTATTTCTTTCTGCCTCTCCTGCAAGTGCATGTGCTCTACAGACCAAAAAAAAAGAAACTTAAAAAAAAGTGACAGCTTAATTGGTCAACTACTTCATCCCTTAGCATAATTTTGTTGGCTATTACTATTACGGCAAAATATTACTAAAGTATTGCTGTTATTTCTAAATAAGGGTAAAGCATAAGCATATGCTAATTATTTCCTTCTGCCCTCACTATATTAGGTTATTGAGAGCATTTGACATGAAAACCTTTAAAATACACACACACACACACACACACACACACACACACAAGCACACACACATATATATATAACATATATCTATATATGTGTGTGTGCATGTGTGTGTGTATAGTCTGTCATACAGAGTACATGTGATAAACAGTATTGTGTAGACTTTTATTATTCCTTATACTATCTGAGTATGCTATTAATCATATAGTTGAATTCATAAAATAAAAATAGCATATAATACAATTCTACTGTGTTGAGGGAAAATTAAAATTTTTGGCAAACATCCCATTGGCTCAAAGCAGAGAGACAAGTAATTTTCATCATAAAAATATTCCTTTATTAAGTGCTGTCTTCATCAAACTCCTGGGAAAGTTAAGACATTCAAAATAAGTATAATTCAGAGATTTACATTTTATTTATACATTTGGATCTCTAGGTTTTATATTTTTATGTTAGAAAAGTAGATGTTATACACTTTAAGACATGTATTTTGGAAAAATGCCATGAAAGTGTTAGGCTACACTTAACATTTTTATTTCCAGACTCTGAGAAAAATTATGTAAGCAGATTTTATTGTTCATTTCACCTTCTCCTTTGCTCAGTATTATGTATAGTGATTTATCTTCTTTTTAGAAACATCAAATATTTGGGAAGATTTGGGGAAAGAAATTGGGCTAGATAGCTCAAAGTTCAAGTTCAGAGATTTTTAGTAAATTTGTACTTTAAATCAGTGTGACTTTTAGTCATCCATAAATGATTTAAACAAGAAGTCAAAAAGCTTATGACCTCCTCTACATCTCAATTTTTAGAAGAGGACTTTTGACTCGAGATGGTTTTTATTCAGGCCTTGAACCCAGAATACACTGAGCGTGGAGTTTCTTTTTAAAGAGAAATATGCATTTGGAATGTTGTTGCTAGAGAAAAGATTATGCAAACATTTCAGCTTTACTCAAGACATCCAAATTCACAGGAAACTATTTGTGACTTCAACTGCTACCCAGCTTTCTGTTTTAATGTTGACCAACTCATGTTTGGTTGACTTAATCATAACAGTACAAAAGAACATCGTGAACCTATAATGAGATTTAAAAAAAATTTATTTTGTTCATTTGAAAGGCCCAGAGGACCATAACATCATAATGTCCTCCCTTCAGCTGACGTGTCAATGCATATACTAGCTTTCTGAAGTGCACTCTGCATGGTAGGCAGAAAACCAATGAAGATCAACTTTCTGACTTCCTGTCTCTTTAAAAACATTATTGCAGATTCCTTTAAATTCCAAAGTCATGTATTTGGCGTTTTTTTAAGGCTGTTGCCATGTTTGAAAATGTTGACAAAAGCTCTAACAAGAAATGGAATTCTCCAACTGGATTCTTTCTCGAAGATTAAAGCCTTAATTGTGCCTTGTCAGCCCTGTTCACTCTCCTATTCAATTTGTATTTGTTTGTGTGTGTGTGTGGGTGTGATTTGCCACAGGTAAGGACTATTTAAAAAGAGCAAAATCACAAACTTTACCCACAATGACTCATGAAGAGAGGGTGGAAATTACTATACATATCATTTTCTTACCTATAAACTCTCCTTTTGGAACGTTGTATCCAATTCAAAACCTAAGATGGTTCACCAAGATATAGGATGAAAGTATTTATTTAACTTTCCTTCCTAGAAGGGAAGGCTAGGGTTAGACCACTTACCCAGAACTTTGTCAGGGAATTCAGTGATAGTTATTAATCATGCGATCTGGGAAAACAGGAGATGTTTGCTGGAAATGTAAGCAGATAATTCAGTTAAGACATGTAACAAATAACTTAATGTCCAAAGTTTAAGTCATTTAATAGCTTAATAAGTGAGATAATGTCATCTAAAACGAGCCAGATACTGACATTTGCTTACCTTAAACCAAAGAATTCACTATAATTTCCAAACATGATTTGTAAGTGAAGTTATAGAAAATGTTACCTATGTTTTTGAACTAGTCACACAAAGATAAAGAAAGGACATGTTATATAATGAACTTATTTTGAACCAAAAAATGTATGTCATTAAATCCTTCCCACTACTTTTCCTGATCATAGAATCTCAGTAAGGGAAGGAGAGTCACTAAAACAGTAAGATAGCAAGATATCTGGGATGTTTTTAGGTTCAGCAAAAGGCTCTGAGGGCCTATTTCGAGAAGGCCAGAGGAAGACATATAGGAGACGGGGGTCTGTAGAAAGTGTAGAACCTGTTTCCAAACTACTTCACTTTACAAGCACAGGCAGTGTTTTAGGAAAGCATGCTCTGGACATTTCTACTTATCCATTGTCCTATTGTATGTTCTCTGCCTTCTTAATAAGGACATATGAATGTATTTTATAGTCCACTTGACACTAGAGTAGATGTATGAACATATGTAGGTACGTATTTAAAAGACAGAGAGACGCATAGAAGGGTGAATTAAGGAGCCAGAAACAAAGTTAGGCAGGTGAATTTTGTCAGAGAAAAACCTCACATTCCCATCCTAAATTCAAGCCAGTATTAAGTTAATAGTCAGGGTTTGCATTACATCTCAGTCCATTAATATATTGTCTAGCTTGGCTGACAAAATATGCAATATTACTTTGAAGTAGAAAATCTGAAGTAGAAGTACTCATCAGGTTGCTATACCACTACTATGTAATCAAAAGTTAGGCTCAAACCTTATTCTAAATGACCAGCTGTTGTAATCATCAGTTATTTGGTGGACTGGCAGGTGGTGTAGTGGTTAAGGGCACTAGACTCCCACATGGCTGACCATGGTTTGAGTCCTGGAGTTGGCAGCTTGCTTTCTTACTTTTCCTCTCTCTCTCTCTCACTCTGTCCCTGTCTGGTCAAATCTAAATAAATAAATAGTAAAGTTAAATAAAATAATTCTTTAAAAAATAATTAGTTATTTGGAAACTGTTTTCTGTTGTAACAAATAAATAGAATAGACCATCTTGTCCAATAACATTATGTCTTGAGTAGAAAAAAAGATATAAATTAATATCACAATAATATCACAAGCCTAGTGACCTTTTCCACAAAACCTACTAACTATAGCATATTAAGGCTTTGAAGGTCTCTCAACTACATCTATTGGGAAAAAAATATGTGGGATTGTGAACACTATGCTCAAGTTTTTTCTAGAACATTCTCTTTGGGATGTACCAGTAGTTAAGCCAGAAGGGAAATGGAGAGAAGGCAGCTATTGTTTGTTTTCCAGTAAACGGCTCTTATATATACGTAGCATGTGTTCATCACTGAAAAATTGAAAAGTGCTGATAGGTAAAAATAAACAAATAAAAATCAGCTATTATCTTGCACAGATAATAGTAACTATTTCTTACAACACTTTATTAATGATAAACTCCCAGTTGTTTATTTTTTTTTCTTTCACAGAGGTATGAATTTGTTCTTAAAACATAAAACCATTTCATACACGGTGGTTTTTTTTTTTGTTTTTGTTTTTGTTTTATTAGTTAGTTTGTTTTTTGAGAGATTTTTGCTGTAGGGTGCATGCACTTGCCAGAAAGACAGAGAGAAACAGAGAGATAGAAAGCAAGAAATCACCCCCCCCAGGGGGATGGCCATGCCGCAATCCCTTCTCCTCCATTCTCTTCTTGGGATCTTGGGCACGCACTCACACATGCTCAGCATGAGTTTAAGCCACCAGGTCTGGGACTTGAACCACAGTCAACTACATGGGAGTCCAGTGACATAGCCATTACATCAATTGCTGGTCCCCATACACAGTGTTTTAAGATCTATTTTTATCTCAACAATATACTATGTACTTTTTATTTTTTTTCGTATTTGCCAAAGAGAGACAGAGAAGGTAGAAGAGAAAGCATCTCTTTTGGGACATGGTCACACTGCAGACAGACAGAGAGGGTAGGCACTGTGAATACTTATTTTATCTTTCTAAATGTTAATCTTTCTTATTCTATTCATTTTATAAGAAATTTATTTTGGAACTAGTGGCTATCATAATGGTTATGTCACTGGACTCTCACTTAGTTGACCATGGTTCAAGTCCTGGACCTGGAAGCTTCAAATTTATGCCAGGTGCATGTGCTTATGTGCCCAAAATCCTGAGAGGAGAATGGAGGAGAAGGAATTGCAACATGACAATCCCCCCTCGGGGGGTGATTTCTCTATTTCTGTCTCTCTGTCTCTCTTTGTCTCTCTGGCGAGCACACATGCCCAATAGCAAAAATCTCTCTTAAAAAAAAGAACTTGTGGTTAAGACACATACATGCATGCACACACACACATACTCACGTATATATACATATTTACACATATATAGTATAAAATGCACATTTGAGAATGAAGTAAACAGAAAATAAAGATTAGCAATGTAAAATATACACTAGTAGTCCTATGAAATTGCTGGTGGTAAATAAAAAATCAGATTCTAAGTTTTCTGGAGGCAAAGGAAAAGGTAAATACATCACGTGTAAAAATTTATGAATTAGAGATAAACACCATTTCCCTGATACTCAGGTCAGTGAAACCTCTTCCTTTGTTTCTCAATGGGATCACCTTTGACATAGAATGACATTCATCACGTTTCTGTGATGCTGTGATTTTTGTTATCTATTTCCTCATTAGAATGTCTCAATGAGAGTCTCTCTCAAATCACAGATTAAGTGATCTATAAATAGCTAGTTCCATGTTTACACAAGTCACTCATTACAGTCACTGAGAAAAAATGAAGTGAATCATTGTCCCCAGGTAAATCTAGACCTGTTTCTTCAGTGCTAAAGCTCTTGCAACATTGTTAATGATAAGCCAGAACCTTCAATTGATAAAATCTCTTTCCTGGGCTGGATGGAGGGACAACAGGTGGTATGGTGGTTAAGGTGCTGGACTCCCACGTGACTGACCGTGGTTCAAGTTCCAGACCTGGTAACTTGAAAATCATGCCAGGCATGTGTGCATATATTCCAAAAATTCCAGGAGGAGAATGGAAGAAAAGAGATTGTGGCATACCATCTCCCTTCACCCCATGGGGTGATTTATTACTGTCTCTTCTCTTTGGCCACCCTATGGCAAAAACCTAAAACAAAAACAAAAACAAAAACAAAACAAAGAAACAAAACTCTCTCTTTGGTGTAAATTAAGGTCAATATCTTTTAAAGTTAAAATTTTTTTAGGACCATAATGTTCTTAGGAAAATTTTAAGTATAGTAGCATAAGGTGAAACAAAAAATGTATATGTGCATTTGTATGTTTCAGTGTGTGTGTATATACATATATAGTGTAAATTGGGGGGCGTAGTCTTCTCATTTTTAATCCCTTTCCTTTGTACTGATTATTTATTTATTCATTCATTCATTTTACATTCATTCACTGCTTATCATAACAGCATACAAAATGAATTTTTCCCATCCAAAAAACACTGAATATTGGCTCGATCAGATATTACCATACCTATTATCTTCAACAGATAATTTTTCATGTTGTGTTTCTTAACTGTTTAACTCCTTTATTTTCCCCCTTATTCCTTCCCTCTCAACTTCTGACATTTCTTACCCTCCTCCCAAACTGTCTCTGATCCACAGTTCCACAATATCTTTATATTGTCCAATATTCACTTTCTGCCATACAGTGCAGACATTCAGTACATATTAAGTAGGGACATACAATGCCTGTTTTTCATAGTTTGACTTGCTTCACTTAAGGATAAATCTTTCATTTTTGTCCACTTTATATCAAATGCTAGGATCACATTTTTTTTTTTTATGACTGAGTAATATTCTGTAGTATTTTTGTGGCAAACTTTTTCAATTAGTTTGTCTGTCTGTGGGCATTTGGGTTGGTTCTATTTCTTAGCAATTGTAAATAATGTTGCAATAAACATGAATGTTCAAGTGTTTTTCGAACTGAGTTAATTCCTATCCTTTGGGTAGATACCCAGGAGTGGAAGTGCTGAATCATATTGCACTTCTATTTACAGGACTTTGAGGAACCCCCATATTGTTCTCCACAGTGGCTGGATTAATTTACATTCCCATCATCAATGTAAGAGAGTTCCCTTTTCATCACAGCCTCACCAGCACTTATAATTCTTCATTTTTTAAATCGTAGCCATTCTGACTAGGTTTAGGCGGTATCTCATTGTGGTTTTGATTTGCATTCTCCCTTATGCTAAGGGATATTGAACATTTTTTTTTGTATGTTTTTTGGCTGTTCATATGTCTTTCTTAGAGAGTTGACTCTTCAGCTCATTTGCCCATCTTTTAATTGGGCTGGTCTTTTGTTTTGTTTTGTTTTTGAGTGAGCTGTTTAAGTTCCTTGTAAATTCTGGTTATCAGTCCCTTATCTGAGGTGTGGTTTGCAAAAATATTCTCCCATTCCACAGGTTGTTGATTCTCTCTAATTATTGTTTCTTTTGTTGGGAAGAAGCTTTTTCCTAAACCTGTACTTCATATACAGTCAGTGCTCAATTGATGTCTCCTATTGGTAAGCATGATTTAAAAGACAGGTGGTAGGAAAGAGTTAATGTAAATCCTAGAAGTGTAATGTATTTTTATTTAAGAAATACACTCAAAAAGCCACTTTCTCTAGGCCTGATTAGAAGTGTGGTCATTAAAAGTAGGTAGAGAGCTTATATATTGTCAAATAATTTTTACCTAAATGAGATGTGACTTAAAGTAAAAGTATCAATGTGCATTACAGAATCTTCTAGTGACTATGCAGTGGGTAGTCATAAATTTCTTCATTTGTAATATAATACTGTGCAGGATGATTGTGGGA